TAATTATGTCCCCACTGGATGCAACGAATGCCTCGTTTATAATGGGTTTTCATGTTTTTGAATCATCGCTCCGGCCTGACAGGGCATCATCACAGTATGGTGAGGGGCGTAACATTTCCGTCACATGCTTGAGGCATTCGGCCAATCATAACGCACTGGATAGCTGGCCAATCACAGCACACCTTGCTTTTCAGACCGATGAGCTTTGTAAAAATCGACGCGTTTCAGAAAGGCGGGGCATAGAGAAGAAACAATAATGTACAGTATGTGGAAAATAATGTGTTTTTTTAACCTTAAACTGCATAAACACATTTCATTACACCAAATACACAAAATAATGTTCTTTTTAGCAACATCATATGACCCCTTTAAAGGAAACGGCATGTTGCCACATGTTTTTTTTAGATCAGCCTTTTTTTTTATCAAATATGCTATGGGTGTCAACTGTGATGTGCTTCCTGAATATGTATTACAAATCAAGAATAGACACAAAATCAAGCTGACGCTTTTTTTTTTTTTGAAAGGTCATGATAATGTCAGATGTGTCAGAACTTGTTCTCAGTCTCTATTTCCTGTCTTAAAATAGTACACTTTTTGAAGGCAGAAAAAAAGCACAGATCCAGAATGGATAAGTGCTACATACTGTTTTGTAAAAAAGTAGTATGTATACTGTGAACAGTATGCAAATTTTCTGTATGAATGAAATACCATACCTACTACTTTTTCACAAGTGTGGTGTATGCAATTAGAGCACAGTGTGTGGAACATTGTTTCCCACAATACAATGTGTGGTAAAATAAAAATTATAGAAATGTTTCATATTTTAAAGAATATCTGTGGACTGGTGAGTTAGAAATGTGTGAAACAAGAAGTCAGGTGTGTTTTATGGGAATTTTATGTTCTTATCCAGATGTTGCAGTGGGAGCTTTCCTGTCAGACTCAGCTGTGGTGTTCAGGTAAAAACAGCAGATTAATTTATCACACACATTTGCTTTGGTATCTTCAGGCTTTAAGATTTGGTATTGGCGGTAGGACATTGTTTCTGCATAACTCCTAATGTGTTTTTTAAATGTATTCTTTTATTCTAAATGTAATCTATTTCTATTATATTTTCAGTTACCAATAAAACTCAGTTTAGCACATTTAAATACATTCCACAGTATTCTGAAAATTATCTTGAAAAATCAGCACAGAAAATGCCCAAAATCTGCATATTACGTCTGGGCCTAGCTGTAGTGGAGACTGGGGCTAGTTGTTATTTGTTTTTGTTTTTTTACCCCAATGAATATTATTCAGGGAGACTATTATGTTAAAGTCTGTAAAGGCTCTATTATATAGCCTTGGCTACATAAACATGGAATTTCAAACCATTTCACCATTTTTAAATGTAAAATAGACACTTCAGCAGGCATGGGATGTTGTTATATGGGGTAAGTTGTCACAGTGGGAACCTGCCAATAAAAATCAATATTAGGTTAAACTGGTCAACTAAATGTAATCAAAAACAAAAAAATGAAACGCTTTAAATTGAAAAGAAGATAAAGAAAGATCAAGAAAAAATGTAATAAAAAAATGTAATAAAATATAATAAAAATATACCAATAATGAATTAATCATACTATTTGACAAAATCTCCAGATAGCCTTGGCCTCCCCTGTTAATTTTTTGACTTGACGACTAACCCATTAACTCTTGTTGTTTCAGAACGCGTCCAGTAGTGAAGGTGGATGCTGTCATGTTGTTGCCTGAGAGCTTGAACCGGTCCATAGCCCAGTGCACTGAAAATGGTCTTTCTGAAGTGTGTGTCAATGTTATGGTGTGCTTCAGAGTCGGAGGAAAACAAATCCCGGGAAACATAGGTAAGACAGTAATACCCATTGAATATAATCTTATGTTAAAAAGTGTTTTAAAAACTGTACTTTTGACTTAAAATTCCCCTAAATCCACAGTATTTGTGCAGTAAAACCCTAGAGTGATACAAGAACATTCTGCAACTTCTTGCAGTGCTATCTGACTTTTTTGAGATGCGATGTGAAGTGACCTATGCTATTTTGAGCTCCTCACATGCAGACCTGCCAACCTGTACACATGTTGCATAGCGGGTACGCATTTTGGCCTCAAAGTACGCTGGTACGATTTGTCACTCTAAACTACGCAAAAACCTAGTGACTCAAGTCAAGCAACAGCAAAAGAAGAAGAGTTCATTCCCCAAATAGCAAGCATGGAGGATTGACTAATGTGTAATGTGTGTGTGACTGAGTGCAGACCTTTGAAAATATTTAACATTAAATCTTGCATTTTGCACATTGTGCAATTACGATTTTGACATTAGCCATAATATATGAAACCCCTCCCCCAAACCCAGTGTCCCGTCCCGTCATACTGATGCTACTCAATTTTTTTCCAAGCTTGGCAGGTCTGCACACTTGCTCACAGAGTTGAGTACACAGTGTTCAAGGATGAACGTTTTTGGGCTCGAACTCTTTGTTTGCGAGAGGCTGTGCATTGGCTAGTCTTATCAGCACGTGCTGAAGGCAGTGGCAGGTCGCTGTGTTTCAGACATCTTTCCCAGCTCTTTATCTCTGCCCTACATCCCCTCTTTTGTCGTGGCGGTTAGAGGGCTCAGGGTGTGTGTCAAGGCCTGCCTTCACTGATAGATCCACGCTCACTGACCAAATAGTAAACAACAGAGCTGTGCTTGATGACAAATACTCATAATCTTGAAACTGATATGAAGTAGCGACAGCAGAAATATGCGACCCAGAGATTTTGCTATAGCGTTTATACCACAGTAGATTGATATATCTGTACAGTATATCTGTCAGCTTACAGGACGGCTGCGTGTGTTTTAAAAGTGAGATAATAAAGAGCGGGATGTCCCAAACAAGGGTAGAACTGTTTAGTTTTTGTTTACAGTCACAGAAGAACATCATAGCGGCTTTGAATGTAGCTCATCCAATCAGAATTCAGAGTCAAAACTAGTTAATATTAGCAATAGTCAAAAATACATTGCATGGGTCAAAATTATAGATTTTTTTTTATGCCAAAAATCATTAGGACATTAAGTAAAGATCATGTTCCATGAAGATATTTTGTACATTTCCTACTGTAAATATATCAGAACTTAATCTTTGATTAGTAATATACATTGCTAAGAACTTCATTTGGACAACTTTAAAGGCGATTTCCTCAATATTTAGATTTTTTTGCACCCTCAGATTTCAGATTTTCAAATAGTTGTATCTCGGCCAAATATTGTCCTATCTTAAGAAACCATACATCAATAGAAAGCTTATTTATTCAGCTTTCAATTGATGTATAAGTCTCAATTTTGAAAAACTGACCCTTATGACTTTGTGGTCCAGGGTCACATATACTATTTAATTTAGTTTTGCATGGACAATCTGTTTTTCAGCTCCTTACAACTCGCCTGCCGTTCCATCACAAACCACTAGTGTTTCACCACAAGATGACAATGAGTTTCTGAATTGTTCTGAAGATTTAACAGGTTGTCTATGCCTGGCTGTAACTTTGTCTCTGAATGTCATGTTGTTTCCTGTGCAGAACTGAAGTATAACATAACAGCTGATGTTCATCACAAAGATGGCTTCCCTTCTCGTTTTTATTTCAATGGAAACGGCACATCCAATGTTACAGCGGGCAGAGTGAAGGTCAAGCATGAGCAGCTCACCTGTGCCACCCACCAGGCCTTCATGAAGGTGCGAGACTCTGTTCATGTTCATTACCTGTATAGGGGGATGTTGCTTTTAACACTGTCACATTATCGCTTTACTCCTATGCAAATTACTGTACATTTTATGGAAAAAAAAATGTGTATTTAACTTCTATAATTCACTTTTTTAGGTAGTTAATTTGATATTTTATATTTAATTTCAGCTATATTTCAATTAACAGATTATTTATACATTTTAGTTAACAACAACAACAACACTTGCATACAGTGTTGAGGAAAGTTACTTTTTAAAAGTAATGCATTACAATATTGCGTTACTTCAAAAAAGTAATTTTATGGAAAGTAATGCATTACGTTATTTTTGCGTTACTTTTTGTCACCTGGGCTGGGCTTGCTTATTTGTTTTTTAATAACAAAAAAAGTTATATTTTTGGCAACTGTAAGGGCCCTTTCACACCAAAAGTGAAATTAATAAGCGTCAGGCTAAAGGAAGTGCCTTGGCCTCTGCACCTCGCTTCCAATTTCTCTCAGCATGGGTCAGGAGAGGTGTCAGTGAATAAATTGGAAAACAAAGTAAGTTGCATTACTTATTTGAAAAATATTTTATTATAAATTTAAAAATAATGCATTACTTTGCTAGTTACTTGAAAAAGTACTCTGATTATGTAGCTTACTTGTAATGTGTTACCCCCAACACTGCTTGCATATTTGATTTATATAGAAATAAAGTCCTGATTATAAAGTTCTGAAGGTAAATGTGATTTGAACATGTGCAAGTTGCAGCAGATGTTTTCTTCAGCTCATAGATTTTGAATCGCTTTGTCGCTTCCATTGCTGAAGTTCTAACTTTCATTCTTACAGTTCATTTATACTATTTATTATCTTGCCATTTTTTATAAAGTCACTGTTCAATGCTGAGAAACATTTTGGTCCTGTAGAGTTCGAGTACAGTACAGAAAATCAACTACTTTCAGCATTTCAGTGTATGATTGAAATGCACCTGAAAAGCCAGATGTCTCTTGACATTTTCTTTGATCGGCCCATATTGTGCGTTATTGACTTAAAAGTGCTGACTCAGACTTAAGCCTGTGGACTTAACAGCTGTGATTCGCCCACGTCACTCTGCTCTTCATGCTCGAGTTAATCAGCCTCTCTGAGAGGCCCAGGTGGTGTGACTCTCTCTCTAGGTTTACAGCGTGACTCCACACAGGAGGCCGGGATGATAAAGAGGCTCTTACAGATAGTTAGTTGGAGTCGATAGCAGGTTGTCACTGCTGGCAAACAAGAGGAAGAGTCAGGCAGGATGGTGCGGGGGAGGACGGTACAGAAAGAGACCTAGACAGTTGATAAAGTGCGGATAGATGGCTCTGTGAGTATGAGTGAATGTTCCAGGTGTTTGGTGGGCCCCTCTGGACACCTCTCCCTCTGTCTCTTCCTGTAACCAGGGCTATCTGATCCAGCTCATGTTTTACACAGTAATTAATGGAGGCCTGTGTATGGCTGCACTGTTATTAATGGCTGCTGATGGAGACGATGGCCATAAACACGTGTGATTATCTGTCAGAGGCAAACCCAAACAAGGAGGCTGCTATATTTGAGGTATTTTTAGAGCTTAATTAATGAGCAATAAGAGTAATGAATGGAACACAAAGCAGATGTGGCAGACACCTTGTGCCGTGTTTTAGAAAGGTTATGGAGGAGCTTGTCGGCCCCTGTTATATTTTGTTGTGTTTACTATTGAAACAGAAAGTTTGAGGTGGGTGTATTGAATGGAGTGTTCTTTTTTGAAAAATAGCCAGTAGTCTTATTTATGTCAGTCGCTACTTGCTAATATGCAGGTGACATTGGTGAGAGAGATATTGTCATTCTAGAAAAAAATTGTCTGAAATTGAGACATTACAGGTTAAAAGTTTGGGGTCAAAGTTTGATCAAAAATAATTACAAATTTTAATTAATTATAAATGTTTTCTATTTTTGTATAATTTAAAATCTAATTTATTCCTGTAATGACAAAGCAAAATTTTCAGCATCAGTCACATGATCCTTCAGAAATAATTCTGATATGCTGGTTTGGTGCTCAAGAAATCATTATCTTATTTAAATTCTTATCATAATCAATGTTGAAAACAGCTGTGCTGTTCAATATTATTTTGTGGAAACTGATAGATTTTTGTCAGGGCTATTTGATGATTAGAAAGCTCAAAAGAACAGCATTTTTTATATATATATAATTATTTTGTAACATTATAAATGTCTTTACTTTTGTTCCATTTAATGCATCATTTGCTGAATAAAACTATTAATTTCTTTAAAAAATAAAATAAAATCTTACTGACCCCAAACATTTGAACAGTGGTGTGTATCTGTTAATACAAGAGGAATCTGTTTTCCTAGATATATATATTTTTTTTTAAGTTTTGTCCACTTTTACTATTACATGACAGTTAGACGGGCTCAAAGCTTTACTTTGGATTTCTTTGAGAGATTTTTAAAGATTTGTATGCTTTGAATACTGAAGCTGTATGCTGTTGATTAACACAGAAAACAATTTAGTCGTGTCCTTCAATTTGTAAAAACGAACCTTTAGAAAAATGTAATTGCAATGACTGGCCAGTAAGTTATTGTTCTAAATATGCTTCTGTTTTAAGAGTGCTAGCATGATACTGAAGTGAGAATACCAGGACAAAATTTGACATCTACATCTGCATTTACATTTACACATTTGGCAGGCACTTTTATCCACATTGTAGCTCCTGTAGCTCAACCAGCATGGTGCTAGCAACGCCAAGGTAATGGACTCCCAAACAGTGCATAAACTGATCAAATGTATACCTTGAATGCAGTTTAAGCTGTTTTTGATCAAATGTCAGCCAAATGCATAAATGGAGATGTAAGTGAAGTTCCACCTTGAAAAAGAGTCCAACCTCAAAAGGTTGATTTGTTATACAATTAATTAGTGCTATAACAAAAAATATTAGCTTCTCATTTCACTGCAGTGCACTATCCTGCTACATTTTAGCCTGTTTTACAAACAAAGGAACGAGTTTTTTCTGTAGTAGTCAAGTTGCATTTAACACCTCTCCACCCAAAACTATATTGATTTTAAAGTGCTGTTGTTTTGATACTAGTTTGTTATTGAGAGTTGCAAATGTACCAGGCCTGAATTTTTAAACAGGAAGGCATAGCAATATTTTCAGCTCTTGTTTTGAGTGAAATTATCCTTGAGCTGAATGAAGGTGTGAAGGAAACACCCAGTCTTTCTCATCTTCATGTGAAGGCCGTTTTCACCACCCTGGTGAACCACAACAGTTAGCTCATAAAATAATTTACAAGTTCCTTGAAATAGCACTTGTCTGTCTGGGTTGTACCCATGAGATTAGAAATGCCGGTGACACATTAGATGCGTGTGCGCAAAGGATACAAGTTCACAGCGTTGACTTTGAGTTTCGCCTTTGCTGCAGAAATTAGCGTCTTTCAGAGGTTGTTGTTGTGGCTGGAGTCCAGCTCATTTACACTGGCCATGGAAGAGCCTTCCAAAACCCCGGTCGCACATCTCCCCTGCAGCTAAATACAGGCCCGAGAGACCCCACAGGACAACTCCCAACCACTGAGCCCCCAATTAGAGACAGCCATCACAGCTGACAGAGCAAACCTTACCTGCATTAATTATCTGCACTGAGGTTAGGAAAATTAAGATGGGAGGAATTAAAAAAAAAAAAGGTGTAGTCAAACTCTATCACATACACTACTGTTCACAAGTATGGAGTCGGTAAGATTTTTAAATGTTTTTAAACAAAGTATTTTATGTTCACCAAGGCTGCATTTATTTGAAATACGGTAAAAACTGTAATACTGTGAAATATTATTAGAATTTAAAATATCTGTTTTCTATTTTATTTTAAAATTGAATTTATTGCTGTGATGCAAAGCTGATTTTTCAGCAGCCATGACTCCAGTATTCAGTGTCACATGATCTTTCAGAAATAATACTAATAAGCTGGTTTTCTGCTTAATTATTGTCAATTTTGAAAACGGTTGTGTGGCTTTTGTGGATACCGTGATTTATTTTTTCTGATTTCTTTGATGTATAGAAAATAGAAATATTAAATAGAAATATTTTGTAACCACTTTTTTTTTCTTACTGTCACTTTTGATGAATTTAATATGTCCTTTCGGAATTAAAAGTATTAATTTCATTATTTCCTTCCTGTATGTGTCTCTCTCTCTCTCTCTCTCTCTCTCTCTCTATACATATACAGTGGGTACGGAAAGTATTCAGACCCCCTTAAATTTTTCACTCTTTGTTATATTGCAGCCATTTG